CAGTCTGTCTCGGGTCACCGACCGAGGTGTCACGAGGGACATCGCGCTCCCGTGCTATCTGTTGATAGTTTTTCTTGCCGTGTTTCGCTACGGTATAGCAAGTTCTCGATTCGTACGGTTCTCGCGTTGTTCTCGCGATATCCAGGCAATTCTATGAATTCCTGTGAGTATTCCGGAGGTGTAGTGCTGTGCTTAAGTGCAGTGTCCACCAGAGTGTCCTTTGGATACAGTTCTCGGCCTCCACGGATTAGCTGCACCAGCTCCGGTGAGTCTCCCAATTTATTAATTGGTGAAGGCATCTCGATAGATAGTTAAGATTCGTTCTGATGCGTTCTCGATTCGTCGCTCTCTGTCTCTCGCACTATTTGCCAGACTCTCACTCCGACCCTCTCTAGCTCAACCCAGCAGCCTGAGCGGCCGTGCATTTGGCTGGCGGCCGCCTGGCTTGCGGATGCACGAACGAAGGGTGGACGGCCGAAGGTAACGTAGGTCGGTTCTCGAAGATAGTTCGTTCTCGGATGTTTCGCTATCGGTGTCAAGTTAAGGAGAAGAATTACGTTACAGTACATAAGTCCCGGGTGGTACGTGCCTCATAGTTACGCAAGCCGAGTGGCCCGGGCTGCGTCCTCGCGCGTAGCTCGTGCCGCGGCGCTTTCCCCGTGGGTGGGCGGTGGGATGAACGAAGCGCGACGCAACGGAGTAGCATCGTGTAGACAGCATCCCTTCCTCGCGGAGCACGCGGGTGTTACACACGGGACCCAGTTAAGGCTGGTGCGCCAGCATTTTTCCATAATTGCGAGGATTACTTTAATGAGCGGGGGTCGTCGAGTGCGTAGGCAGGACGAGAGCAGCCAGCCAGGCAGCCAGGCAGCCAGGCAGGCAACGTCGGCAACCGGGCAGCGCTGCCGTAGGCTGCGAAGGAGCCACGCGTGTATCGAATGCATGAAACCGAGGCAAAAGATATACAACTAATAATTATAGAGATATCTTCAGTGAATATGAAAAATTTACGGAACGTGTACACACACGAACAGGCGCTGCAGCTGCTAATAGTTCCCCCGTGCTATTTGACATTGTCGTAGTGATTTACTGCTGCACGCATCTATCGCATTGTCATGCAAAAAGTTTATTACTTTTTTTTTAAGCGCGCCCGTCGCGAGCCGAGTGCAACGCGTGCTTCGCCGAGGATAATTTAGTCCAATTACCCTGCGCTCGCATCCCAGTCAATTCCCTGCGTATCTCTAGCGAGCGACACATCGTTTGCTTGCCAGTCTTGCCACTGACTGACGTCAGCCATCTTTGGGTCAAGTGGCGTCGTTAAAGGCCACCACACAATGAATTACCGCATAAATCCCGCTCGTTTGACGTTGTCTCGTGCGCGAGCCCCAATCACCAGCGAATCATTCTTATCCCGAAAGATGAATCATTCCTTTAAATAGTTTTTTTTCTATCTAGGCGAAAATGTCTGGTGAGGATGCTTGTAGAGTTGATCGGCAAAACAGCCTGACCATTCCAATCTCGTTCAAAATCAACGTTATTTCCATCGGTCGTGTTTGATTACGTGTTTTGGGCACTAGCACCTTTCTCGAATCACTAAATATTCTATTCGAATCCCTTTGGGAAATGTTGGAAATTTTTCGTATTTCAAGAACATAGTATGCATATGTATAGTGTTTGTAAAAAATATAATAAAAAAACGTGGAAAGTGGCATTGAATTGAAAGGATACATTCGGCGAACGCGTCCAGCCGATTTGGGCCATCGGTACACTGAAGCACATACGTTTCATTTTGTTTTGCGCAAGTGCCCATAAGTCTATCTCTGTCGCACTAGCACTTGTATAGCCGCCGTAGAAAACTTGTAATTCTTTCTGACAACAGATTACGGAGCTAATCTCTAATGAAACGTAGTGTTTTTTAAGTTGCAGAGGAAAGGTCAATAGGACGAAAGTTTCTTGCACAAGTTCCAGAAAAGTTTTTTAGGTATCATATCGACACGTTTACCAAGTGTCATTTTGCTATTGCTAAGAGGGTGTAACGTTCTCAAGATGCAAGTTCGACCGAAGCTAACAGGTCGATAACGATACAGGCGGCTCGCTGTTCTCCATATGGCTTAGTACGAGACACAATCTATATCATGGGAAGAAAGTAAAAAACCATGATAGACGCATTCCGGCATGTGGTTCGTGTATGCGTACAGGACGCATGATCCAAGAGGAGAGACATTACGTCCTTTTCGACGGCACACTTCCCTTTGGGATCGATTTCAGAATTCACAATGCGTCTTCTCGGTTCGAAGAAAGTCTTTGCCTCCTAAACCCATCATGCAGCTATGTCTAAAGCATTCTTTATCGTTCATCAAGTACTCGCAGCATTCGCTGTACTTGCCGTTAACGAGGCTCGGACCGGAGCGTGCACGGCAAGCAACAGGTAATTCTTGGCAGTCTGGGCAAAGATATTTCCTGCGCGCCGCGAGTCCCAAAGCAACCGAAAGTGTGCGTGTTGCCCATGACCACCGAGCCAAGTCACCACGAGGCAACTCGTTGCTTCGCCCTGACATTGAGCATCTCCTCCCCTCGTCGGTGTGGGAGGAATGCATCCTGCCTCTAGCGACGTCGTCGAGTCCCTCTCGAGCATCCTGAGAACAAACGATGGATCTGAGAGACGACGAGCTCGACCGTCTTGGGACTTGATCTGATTTTTGCCGATAGAGAAGATTTCTCTTGGATTTTTCTAAAATACCCTCGAATCTAACAAGTAGTTGTGTGATTCGGCAGCGTGTCCGCATCCACCGGTCGTTCTCTAGCTATCCCGGGAAGACGAGAAGTATACTCAGTGACGTACCAGACGACAGCACAGAATATATAGTATGTATAAAGCGCCTGGACGAGCTGGCGTCGCTCTGTCCGTAAAGGCGCTGACTCACACATGAATATGTCAGGCTCGGTATTGTGTGTGTCGAGTATCGGTGCTACCTCGGCCCGCCCCACCACTACCACCACTACCACCACCACCACCACACCGCCACAAACCACCGCCAGAAGAGTCGGCCGAGGGTTCCGAGGACCGAGAAACCAGTCGCGCTTGGCGGGGCCTCTCAGTTTCGGTTCTCGCTCAGTTCGGTTAGGATCGTCATGTCGAAACGGGAGTTTTTTAGTCCTGCGTCTGAAAGAAATTTTGATAGATTTAGCACGTAGTAAAATGAATGGGACTATGCTCCCGATGACAACGACGCAGTGTCGGTGAATTTAGAGAGTGATAACGTGTATCGTGTATTGTATCGTATTGTACAGTAAGAAAGGAATTATTCAGAATCCTGGGAGTGAATAGTATCTTCGTAAAATAGAAGCACGTTAAAGGCAAAAGGTCTTCGAGCGCAACCTCAAGGATTTTGAGCAACGATGGATTTTTAATGAAGAAATCCTCGAGAGCTACAGAGGTAGAAAGTGCCGTGCGATGGAGAATTAAAAGGTTTTAGGTGTGACCAGCGCAGGATCCAAGACACGACCCCACAGGGACATATCCCTCAGGAATCAAGAAGGATATATTGCTGAAAGTGAGAGAAATCCAGTAGGCAGAAATCCTTTGTAAAGAAAATGAGGCACGTCTCGTGGAGTCGATCCTGGTGGTGCAGAAGGAAGCGGCGGCGACCGTCCGCTTTGATCTTCCTCGCGGCCTCTTCGCTTCTTATTATTCTTTTGGCTACCACGACGTCGGCTGCCCCAGCACACTCCCATCCATCGTCCATTCCTCCCGCTGACCAATGCGACTGGACCGGAAGGTTAGTCACGCACAAACTACTTTTTTCTCTCAATCTTTTGTACAATTTATGCCGTGCGGCTCCATTGAAAATGAACGTGACGTGAAATCTGCGCTACTCTACTCTTTAACGATCGCTGTAGAAAGACAAATCATACAAGTCCAGATATTTAAATGTATCTTATAAGACCGTCAGGCGTAAATGCGAGTTCCACGTTGTCGAATTGCACTGGAATTTGCTGATTGCGATGAAAAGGAAGGAGAGCGCGTGTCGATTTGGAAGTAACGGAACTTAGCGCAGTGTGGATCTTCGATAACTCGAATCTCAAGAGAAACGAAATATGCTTCCAATTATCGTAATTTAGATCTATCGGGGATTACAAGTTATAAAAGTGAAACATTCGAAAATTCGAAGATTCATAATCTTATAGAGGTTTTTGACTTGTAAAAGTCGAGTTATCAAAGTTCCACTTTACATAGATTTATCATATTTTCTTGATTCTCACGTGGCTGTTGTACACAATATAAATTTGATGTTGCTGAGATGCCACTGTCACGAGATTTGTTCGCTCTAGAAAAGCTAGCGAGAAATAAGAAAAAACTGCAGATTGAATCGGAATCAATACGGAAAATAATATCGATTAGGCGGATAGGTACGTACGATGTTTCGTGCAATTGAATCCTCCGTGATATCCGTTAAGAAAAAGAGACGGAGGAAGTTAAATTAATAACCGAGTGAGAAAAGCCTGACTGCATCGAAATATAAACCAGTCGTAGGACTCGAAAAACCGGTTTTCCTCTGCGACTCGAGGTGGAGCGGCCCAGCTTCGTCGCGCTCCCCTTAGTAACTCTTTCAAAATAAATATCATTCCAAGCTACGTTGGCGCTAGTCAACCGCACCGATAAAGAGACGCAGACGATTTAAACTATATTCTGTAGCTGTAAAGATTGTAGCCTTAGAACAATAAACCGTAACTCCCACGCTTGACAGATTGATGAGCCGTTAAGTATCAGAAAACAGATCTTCGCGGAAGGCGGATCCATGGTCCGTATCACTGATTGTCAGTGAGCCACGGGAATGACCAGACGGCAAGACCAACTAACACTTGTCAAATGGTGTGATGTTACAGTGGAGGCGGTGGCCGCGGTGTGCGTCCAGTGTATCTGCGCTGCTCCAGAGGAACGGTATCTTGGCGCTATCCCAGGGGAGCCCTTAGAGTGGTGCTCTCCGGTGCCGGAAACGCAGTGGCTGGTTTTCGTGGCTGCGTTAAGATCTCGGGACCAGCCAGAGTTTACTTGGAGGCCAAAGGCACCTTACGGCCCGTATACGCACCCGACGATGGGAAACACGAGGCTCTACATCGATGCTTCTACTCCAGAGGACAGATTGCTGCTCTCTATGTGGAAGCTGACGAACCGTCCTCGACTCGTGGCCACGTGAAACTCCAGTATGACCTAGAGTTCGCTCATCCAGCCGACGAGGAGGAGGCCGAGTGTAGACCCTGCACGAAGGAGGAGCTGGCCAAGGCTTACTGTCAGAGCGACTTAGTCGCCAGAGGAACCGTCAGTGCCGTCGAAAGAATGCCGGATTTGGAGGCAGCCGAGCTGGTGCTTAGGGTCACCAAGACGCTCAGACGGGTCGAGGAGACAGAGGTGATTTTAATGAGTCCTACGCTAAATCATCTACAACTGCTTAGTCTCTTTTTTTTTTATGTACAGCCCTATGCCAATAAACACGTATTTTTCCCTTTTCTTTTTTAGGACAACGAAGTAGATTCTGCCGACTACGGTAGACTGAAGGTGGTTCGCGTGCGAGTACCGAGCACCTGTGACGCCCGTCACGGTCAGGGTGAATTTGTGATAATGGCGAGAAAGAGACTGGGCGACCTGACACTTGCCTGCGCGCCAAGGCTGGAAGCTTGGGCCGAAGCGGTGAGGGAACTCGAGACGGCGCCCTGCGTCCTCAAGAGTTAGGCCGATCAATCGGGTAGAAGGTAGCAAAAGAAAGGCAGGAGCAAGTAAAGTGACCTTCGGGATAACTCTACAGTGCATCTGCCCAATTCTCTGAGATCCGGCATGAGTGACACGCTTGCTGGGAGGATGCATCAGCCTTGGATGTCCCTGTGTAAAAAGAAGAGAATGTACATATGGATATTTGTTTCTGCTTGTACATAACGTTGTACTATTGCTGTAAGGATACCGATCTCCGAACTGTGATATTATTGTATTATAAGAGGTTTATGATGAAAGGAATCGTTGGTACGAGTAGACGATTAAATAAACTAATGAAGCAAGAGAACATAGTCTACCGATTGAACTAACAGTCTGCTATTAATCTAATCGGCGAGAGTCTTTTCTTTTCTCTCCGTCCACCCTTTATCCTCTGACCTTTTCTTTCATTCTACTGTCCTCGCTCCGCTTAAGCCGTTGTCTTCCCTTTTTCTTTTTGATACTAGTGCGGGACACGGACCCACCGACTGATTTCAAGAATTCTTACGGCTTTTGTCCCCAGCAGCTTCCCGCGCGTAACCTTCTAGGGTTTGAAACCATTTTTTTGCGTTACCGTCGTACGAAAGACCTCGCTCCATCACTCGTAAGTCACTTGCATGGGCGTCTAGACAATCTTTTAGATCTACATTCTCATATGAAAGTAATTCACCTTATTGTGCGTGTGTAATTTAATAGCGTAAGAAATTCTTAAATTTACAGAAAGGGGTAATAAAGCTTGCCAAATTCTCTCAACAAATATATATATATTTTATTTCAGCTTCCATTTCTTTTATTACAAAAACACATGGAAAACACGTACAGAGAAGCCAAGAAACACGTACCCGTAAAAAACAACTACTCTCTTTCTATTTTCTATTACTTTTCGTTGCTGCTTCCCTTTTTCTTGTGCTTTGGATGCATGCAAAGACGCTGCCCCTCATTTTCCTGCCACCAAATCTACGCGATACTTTGTTCTTTATTTATTGTATTATCTTATAGGTCGTACAGCGTATAATCGTCGCATACGCCATCTTGTTGGTTTATGATTTGTCACGCAAGCCACAACATTTACTCATTTGAAGATCATGCGTAGATAAACTAGCTAGGACAACAACATTGTATCGTATCGAAAGTTCCAATAACAAGTCACAACCCTAATTGGAATGGGGAAGTTTGTTAAAAAATAATATTTCAAATTCACAAGAGCCATTGCAATTGATTACCGACTCATGCACGTGTATACGCTTAAAACAGTTCATTTCGTTTGTTCTTTCTTTTTGGCTTCAACGATTAAAGCAACAGCCGCAATAAAGATCGAAGCCACGATGGTCTTCTCATGATCATTTTCTTGTTAAGCGTATGGGTGACACATTGTCGTTTCGTTCTAAATGACGAGCGAGTCACGATATTTCTTGGCAGTATCCGTAAATTGGTCCTGTCTTCTTCGTACATCATGACTGTCGCTATTAATGTCTACCAACACGCTGTTCACCACAGACTAGAATTCGTTTATTCACAATCTATCGTAATAGAAAATATCTCTCTGAAATGCATCGGTTGTATTCGTTATTCGCATTGGTGTATCCTGTATCGAGGCTCGACCAATAGACTTAGAAATGGATTCATTAAGAGTCGTAGGGATAGTTTGGACAGAGAGGTATTACCAGATCGTCCATATTAGGCAGCACGACGATTTTTTGAAACTCTCTCAACAATTTCTTTTCTATCCAATGTGTCACGTATCCGATATTCACTGCCCTCTCGCCTACAGCTGGTTTTGCGGTCAGACTGATCTTTGGCACGTTGCGAAATCCGTACCAGAGCCTGTCCGAGGGTGACGGCGGTATGTTCAATGCCAGACAACCCTCGATACTTGAGACACTAACCATCAGCCGGATTTCCGTATTAGAGACACCCGCCATCGCCTTTCGTACGTAGGATATCTCGGCGGCCTTAAAAATCGAGAAAGATTAACAGGCATTTAAGCACAAAGTTGTTATTACAACCGATGATCGCGCTCGTCGTATCGGTAAAACGTGTTTATGAATTCCCGGTTGTATGTTGTTTCGGAATAATAAGCGACATAATCACGATACTCACGTGCTGAAAGTACTTGTTGGCTGCAATCTTGTCTACCATACTGAGAAATTTACGACTTGACGATTGGGATGGGCTGCAAAAATTGATGACGCGACAGATTTCAAAACTTGATGCTTTAGCGAAATTGAGATTCTACTTACGTAGATTCTTTGGATGGATTTGCAGCTGTCAAGTGAGTACTATCCTCGTCTTCGGTCGAGGTCTCCGGACTGTCCTCCACATCGCTATCGAACATCGGCGACCTGGCCGGCTTTGGTTTCTCTACTGCGAGTATTTCCGTCGAATTGCCAGATACAGAGCCGGCTCTTGTTAACTTTAACAGATTCAATTTAGTTTCTATCTTCATCGTGAGGCAGCCCTCATAGGAGATGTCCAAGTCGAGCCAAAGACCCTTTTCGTCGATCGTCGGTTTTGAGGCTCTGTGAATAAATGGCGCACCCTGACCTATAACCAACTCCGAAACGAGCAAGCTCTCCATGAAGTATGGCAACTTGATGTTCGAGAGCTTCCGCTGTATTTTATCCTGAATGAGATTAATCATATCTGGGCACTTGTGCATGTCGAAAAGTATGCGACCAAGTAGCGCGTTCATCCAGTTCACGTCGGAATTGACTAAAGATGTCGCTGTGTCCGTCATTGGCGTAGTTTGAGCCTGTGAAGGACAGATAAAAATTACGTTTCATCTCGTATGCTGCTTACATTATCCGTATCTATTAATTCGTCTTGACGTACGTCGATGTAGCGACCCATGTACGTGCTGTAGCTCAATTCAATATTTATGTCAAGTTGCGCAGAAGACGACGTTAAGTTCTGATTCTGATTTGATATCGGCGGATCCTTTGTCGAGGATACAGAGTCTCGTGTACTTGCTAAATTTGCAGCAGATAACAGTCTTCTGAACCTGCCATGACAAAATGAACTCATTTGAAGAAAATACTTAGAAAGCTGCATATGCTGTTAATCTACGAATTCAATGTATTTCTTTTTGACAAAAGGAAAACAATAAAGTCTCCTCTAACGCGAGACACGGGCCTGCGCATAGAATTTTTATTACAAGGTATACATATATGCATGTTTTCGCGCTGAATAATGTTTTCGTGATATTATGAAAAACCACGTGTCATTTGTGATCTCGTAGACCGACTACATGATATAGTATGTCATATATTACCAAACTTCCTTTTCCCGATCCGTTCTGGCAAATACGAATAATCTGCACTGCTCATTCATATCTTCATTGCAATCCTCGAAGACGTCCTTGGTGTCGCGTGACTGGGACAGATCTTCGTCAGTCTCTTCTTCCTCGACGGTGGGCTTCTCATTGTCGGTCTCTAACTGTCGTGCCTCGTCATCGGATGAACCTTTTAAGGTAATCGTCTCAATAATTACATTCTCTTGGAGAGTAATGCAAATAGGATACTTTTTACTCCATCTCCTGAGGAATAATAATTTTTCAAAGTATTAATTTTATGGTCTAGAGAACTTCTTGATTTATATTACAATAAACACCTCTTACCGTCTTCTGATGAGGCCCCCAGGAAGCAGCTCGACTTTCGCACCAGTCAAAGAGTACGCTCTTCTTCGAACGAATTTGGCCTTATGCTTGGGCTCGTCCCAAATGGCTCGCTTTGGTATCCTAGTCCTTGTTTCCATAACGCGCAACACGTTGCTCTCCAATCGAAAGAATACCGGTTTTGTGCGAGCAACGTGATAATTGTCAGGATCATAACGGTAAGGAAGCTCGTTCATCCAGCCTTCGTATCGTTCAACTACTGCATGCTCTTCTGCGGCAGGTATCTCCAGGACGGGAACAGAGGACATAACGTCAACTGGTGGCTCCTGCGGTGTCGTCAGTATTTTCATAATACAATTAATAATATTTTGGATTGTCACTGTCGCACATATTCCTGCAACGAGGCCCCTGAGGTATCCGGGCAACGGCATCACGTAATAAGAACACCAGAGGACGATCATTAAAACGAATAAACGATAGACAATTTGAGTTTTGAGATAAGAAAATGGTTGCTCAAAAGTCGAGCCAATCGTTCCAGAGGATTCTTCGTTGTGAGCTAATAATCTCATGGATTTAACAACTGTCGGGATTCTTGCCCTTTCTTCTTCACGAACGATCTTCGGGATGGTTCTATCCCTTTCGTCCACTACGGTGGTACTATTCGTCTTGGACGGATCCTCTTCGGCAAGTTCGGCGGCTTCAATTCCACTTTCGACACTGACCTCCTCGGAGTTCTTTGCCTTTAAACCGGTCTTGATACGAGAAAATCCGGCGAATCTGGAGGAAGCGCCAGAAGTAGAGGAAGCACGACCCCGACGACGCACCACCGGTGAACAATCCTTTTCCAATTTTTCAAATGCATTGTCTTCAGTAGGCGTGACGTCGCCCGGGCCTTCGGAATCACTAATGCTTGAATTGTCTCTGCTCCTACTTTTTCCCTTCCTTCGATCGCTTTTTATTTCAGAAAGTTTCTCTTCGAAGGTTTTTGTAATCTTTCCCTTAATTTCTGAAAGTACTTTCCATGGATCGGATGGTGGTGTACCTTCAGATAAGTTTCCATCCATACTTGTGGATCGTCTTTCCAGTCCACCTTCAGGAACTTCATTGCAATCAACTTTGGTTCCAACACTTTTGCTGGGACTAGACTTTGGAGAAAGCTTGTTCGACTTGGAAGTAAATGCCTCCTCCTCATCTGTACTTGGAAAAAACTCTTCCAACTCATCATCACTAGCATGGTAACGAAAGGCTGGGACGGATATGGCAAGTGGTTTACCTGTAAACAAATAAAAGATGATTCTCTCAACAGAGCTGAAACTGCAAAATATGACTCCTCGAGGAACTACATTTAAAAAAAAAAACTAAACCATTCACAGATAATTTCAAGGAGTCGTATTTTGCAGTTTAGCCCTCAATTGAGATATAGGACTCTATGGATGCTGTACATGTTCTAATAAATATCAACGTTCTTACCCTTGGTCATACCCAATGTAACTTTAGCAGGACTATGCTTTGAAGTCATGATTCCTGCTGCAGCCTGTTCCTAAGTAACTCGCAAGTTACGTCTTCATTGTATTTAATCACGATATTCCTAAATTATTCTCGAATACGAAGAGATAACTATCTACTGAAGTGATACTGTGGGAGCCCATGCAGTCAGTCTCTCAGTTGAAGTGTCGACGTCAACGACGATCGCGGTTACCCTCTCCATTCGCCTCATAGTTCTCCACGGTTTCAGGAGAGTAAACAGATATTCCTCTCTTCCAACGTGTTCCTCCACCGTTTTTAGCGCTGCACGACACTGCGCTCCAAGGTTAGGCGTGCAGTACAAAGGTAAACTTCGCTGCACAAGAATGTATACCTGTGAGTCTTCGTTATTTGTAGACTTTAGTTTTTAGAAATGATTGCTAGACGTGATGTGCACCGTAGGAGAATAACGGAGATGAATTAGCCTTATGTAAAAGATGCGCGGACGGTAGATTCTCTTATCCAGGAAATTCGGGCTACGTCCGACTCCGGTTCAGTCATCACTGCGGCGCCGTAGTAAAGACTACTTGCACGATACGCCAACAAATTAAGGACTCACGCGGTTTTGCGCACCGTGTTACACAAGCGTTGATCCATCGATCTTTTGGAATCTCGATGAACATACCAAGTTCTTAAATATTGCAGCCGACAAATAATCTAAGCCTAAAAAATCGATGAAGAGTTATTTAGGATATTGCCCAATATTGACTAATCTATGTCAAGGGATCCGCATCGACTGAACGAAATGGTTTCTCCCGTTTGTCACGTCGGTATTGTCGGTATCATCGGCATTGTCGCTATCCTTGTTATCGCCGCCGTCCACAGCCGTTCTTCCGTGCAACGTATACGCCTCCATTCTATTCATTCTGACTTCAAAGCCACACGATCGCACGAATATGTCATGCATACGTATGTTGCACGATTAGGAGCACACAGTGGTCAGGGGATCTGTTGAGTTCTGTCAATTTGGACGAGCAAAGTGTTTCAGAAAGAACGAACAAATCATTGAATATTCAAGACAGAAGCTTCGAAGTATAACTTGATACTCGATGATAACTCAATTGAAACCTTACCTGTGAAAAGCGTTGTGTATCACACTAAGCAGGAAGAAACTCGACATGACGCAATTCCTATTTAGCGTACGGCTCTTGCGCTTGAGGGATTTGATACAAAGAGTCGTGTTTATCGCAGATTTTCTTGGTCGTTGAGGTATCATCGCGTAATTTATGCTCCATACGTATTGCTCGAGAGAGGAACTTATGGTGCTACGGTGTAGTGTTTTCGTACTTAGGGGAGGCACACATAACCTAGCCTTCCGGATTACCCCACGACGAAGACGACGATCAACAACATGCCTAAGTTTACGCCCCTTGCAATATGCCGTATGGCACTAATCTGTATACTTATCGGTATAACATGCCAGTGTGTACCAGCACAAAAAACGCCAGAGGTATGTTTTTTTGATACATGCCTCTTGCCCAGTGAGGAACTAAATTTCTCTTTCTCAGAATCGGAGTACAGGATTAATACCTGACCAGGAAGATGTTCTCCTTGTATTTTCTACTCTCAGTGGCTCATTTGTTGGTGTCTCTCAGCGTTACGGAAAGATACAATGGCGACAGGATGATGGTAATACTTTCTGTTACATTAAGCCATTCGCACAAGTTTTTTTTACCTACTTTACCTTCTTTGTATTGTCAATATAATTCATTTACAGAACCTGCTGTTAAAGTACCTATGGATTTATCAGAAACATCTATGTAAGTTTCTTTCGTCAATGGATACTAGTTGTCCCTGAAAGAGAATTTAAAACATATTCCATATACGGCATCTAAAGAGTTATCAGAATTATATCATCAAATGTTGACAGGCCCATGTTTCTACCAGATCCGAAGGACGGCTCACTTTACCTTTTTGGGACGGAATCAGAAGCATTAAAGAAGCTTCCCTTCACGATTCCACAATTGGTCGCTAGTAGTCCTTGTCGAAGTAGCGACGGCATACTTTACACCGGTCGAAAAATTGATACTTGGTTCAGCGTCGACCCGCGAACCGGTGAGAGAGAACGTTTAATGGGTTTCGATTCGGCAGATAGTACATGTCCACTCGATACCCAAGATGTGATATTCGTTGGCCGTACCGAATACAACATCATCATGATCGACAGTAAACACAAAGATCGAAAGTGGAATGTTACGTTCTACGATTATTCTGCTGCAAAAATGGAACCAGACAGAACAGATAATTATGGTCCGTGCGATCCCAACAAATGCATGAACTTTTGTAGGATTATACACAATAAGCATGTTTTGCAATATACTTATTTCACTGATTTTCATTATTTTTCAGAACTTGTTCACTTCACCACAAGCTCTACGGGCAGAGTTGTGACTCTTGACCGCCGTTTAGGCACTGTACTTTGGGAACTTGATTTAGGTAGTCCAGTGATCGCGACGTATACGGTTAGTAAGGAAGGTCTCGTTACTGTACCGTTCACAAGCGTGGCCGAAGGCACTTTGGACCATTTATTGAAGAGATTTGCGGCAAAACCCAGCGATATTCAATTGTTGTAAGTGATCCTGAATTAGTTAAAAGGGTATTTCTGAACATGCTAAGGTACTACTGCTATACTGTGTTTAGCCCAACACTCTATGTCGGAGAGCACAGGCACGGCCTCTACGCTCTGCCATCATTGGTGGACGCGTCAACTGCTACTATATCCAGTAAATCTGGGCATCTTCTGTTGGAGGGCCCGTTGGCAATGCCTAATCCTCAGAATAACGACAATTCCGTTCCTCTTCCTGCAGATCATATTCCTCTGGCTCGGATCAAAACATCCGAAGAGGATTATCAAAGTATTTTTCCGGAAAAGAGTGTCATCGTCTTGGGTAATGTCAATTTCTTTTAAAACTACTGTTCAGCTATTCTAATGTACACAGATACATGGAGCGATGACGCCAGAAGCGAGAAAATGATTGAAATCATTTTTTTTCGTGCGTTTTCAATTAATTCATACATTATTGGTTCAGTCGTCTTCCATACATGGCACGGAGGACAGGTCATTTGCACTCAAGTGTATCAAGTATTAAAATTCAAAGAATAGTGTAGGAAAATGAAGCAGGCGTAATGGTGGCCACCATGAAGATTCGATAGATCGGTTTCTCATTCAACATTAACTTAAGTACTTAAATCCAGATAGCCCGGTTTCCTTACCGTGTAAGAGAGGTGGTTTTAAAGCAACAATGTTAAGAAGTGTTTCCTTGCTTTTGACGTCATTGTTCCGTATATGTGTTGTGACGTGATTTTTCGAATCACGGTCCCAAGGCGGCTCCGGTTACCGATACAGATAACGTTCTCGATTTCTGGTTCCCTTCGGGTCGCCACCCTGCTCAGAAGCTACGCTCTCGGGTTGATTCGTATAGTTATGTCAAGGCTCTCGTGAGATGTCGTTATTGTTTAGTTGAGGTCGAGGTGCTCGAATCTGCCGTGGGGAGATGGTCTCGACGTACCGAGTTGCCCGGCAGAGGAGAGTACCCGACGGAGACGTCTCCACGGACCGGCAGAAGCCCGGGTGAGGAACGCTCTCGATTTGGTTTAAAGGGACGACTCGAAGGAAATAAAAAAATTATCGGTTAAAAGGCTCTCGACCAATCAGAATGATTAGTTCTCGGATTTGACTATTTTGTCAAAGCAGTCTGTCTCGGGGCACCGACCGAGGTGTCACG